TCTGGAGCCAGAGAAAAGCTGTGGCACTATGCTGGAAAGCAAAGTGCCAGAACCATAAAGGAGAAGTGGAGATGGAAGTTTAAGCCTGCTTAACTCCATCATGTTCACTGTTTTGGGCCAGTAGTGTCTCTCTTTAGTATTGTGAGTAATCTTCAAGTTTTGTATGCATGTATTGCAAGGAAAGAAAAAAGAAAGAAAAGGGGGAAAAAAAAAAAACAAAAAAACGGAAGCCCTACAAAACTTAAATACAAAGAAAATAAGTGCCTGATATAAATTGATGTAATTTTTTGAGGCCAGTGACATCAGTTCACAGCAATTAAGATGTGACTCTTGAATTCTCCCTTCAGCAGGAAGAATGTCTTCTTTTTTTATTTGAATTTGTTGAATTTATTGAGAATAGTACTACAATCTCCTAACTTTAAAATGCACAGCTGAAGAAAGTGTATCACTAGCTGGATATCTAGGAATGTAATGACTCCATCTGCACACACAGCTGTGCTACCTGTGCATGCAAAAGACAAAGAAGCACATATTTTCATGCATAACTGCCTGCACAATTGTTAAAATCTGGAAATTTGAGGGTTCTATGAAGCACTCAGTAGAATGTATATCAAATGCAAAAAGCATGCTGTTAAATCTCTTTAACTTCACTGAATTCTCTTATTCTCTATCTCTATCTCTCTCTCTCTCTCTTTTATTAGATAGCCATGGAAGATTGGTGGCTGAATAGGGACAAATACACTTTTGAATATGTAAAAAAGAAACCCTGCAAACTGCAACAAAACCAGTGTAATTCAAGATTATTCTTAGGTCCTTAAACCAGTGCATGAATACAACCTCAGTATTTTAATTTGTGATAGTTAAAAACAGTTAATGTGTTTTGTTTTATTTGTTATTTGGTTGAGCAGATGGTAATGGTTTTGACACAAATCAGGTTTTTTTAATTATTTTTTTTCTTTTCTTTTCTTGAAAAAGACAAGGCTCTTTTTCCCACTTTGTCACAGCTGGTTACCAATCAATCTCAATTCACGGTACAGTGATGATAGCACATGTTGTTCAGGGGCCAAATCTGATTGGGTTGCATTTTCAGCAGTGTTTCATATAAAAAAAAAAAAAGTGACTGTATGGCAGTGACTGTCAGCACACTATTGTACAACTGTCATTAATCAAAACTAGCAACAATGAATGTATTCATATGTGCCAGAGACTGCCAGATTTCACTCAAAATCACCCAATTTCTATTAGAATTTCCTCACCAGCAGTGTTTTCTCATCTGCTTGTTGTTTTCTCTGTTTCTTTCTTCCTTTCCAATCCCCTGGCCCCCTTCCTTTTAGTTAATTAAAGACAGATCTATGTGAGCTATTACTTGTTCATAGCAGAAGTTATGTAACACAACACCCAAAAGTGGCTGGGTTTTTTAACACTGGGACTAGCTGTTCCAAAGACCTCTTTCAGAGCAATTTGATGGCTGAAGTTTCAGCTAAACTGAAAGGTTAAGCACCTCCAAATGTTTAACAAAGGGAAGTATTTAAAATCAATTAGATGTCCATAAACATATGTAGCAGATGTCTGACACCCTACATTTTGTGCAGAATGTTGGCATTACTTGGCTAAGAGACTGCAATATTAGGGTAGTATGTGGGAAGGTGTTTCTTGACATTGCACATATTTTGAAGACACTGCCTTCTTAGCACGCCAGCATAACTGGTACACTTTGGTTTTCTGCTGCCCCACCATCAATCCAGAAGTCTGGCCACCTCTGTCTGAGCAGCACTGACAATCAAAGAGGCCCTGAGCCCAATTCCTAAGTGTCAGCTTGGAACTGATCCAGATGGGAGTGAAATTCTCCAGAAACTCAGATGGAAACATCTTGTTGAGGGCATAGGAAGCTCTGGATTGAGAGGAGATCAAACACTATTCTAGATTTTGCTCGAGAAACTTAGAAGGTACAACCACGTTCAGCCTTCTCACTTTGTTATTTCATGGCACCTTTCTCACACAAGCTCTTTGAGCTACTATGCATAGATCAACTAAAGCTAAAAGCCAGTTTTCTTCTTATTCCTTCCTGCCTGCTTCATCTGTCAAAGCTCTTCACTGAACCGTGGTGACTTCTAGGGACAGTGTGAGAGGAACAGATGACTGAGGGGCAGCATATCAGTACTTCAGGACAGCAGATGGTTATGCTATCCCATGGGCCCATCTGTGGATGATTCCAATTGCTAGACGGCATGTTCTGCCATGGTGGTCCAAAAACTCAGTATGGTCTTGTTGGAGAAGCAGACTAGGAGAGCAGGTCCGCTCCTTGAAGTAATTGATAACTGGGCCATGAGAGTGACACATTTACTGCTTCCTGCATTTCACAATCCAAGTGGGAGATTATGGCTGTGCTCCCTCTCTGCGTCCTGGCATGCCATGCAGCTGGCTTTTTCCCCCAGCAGCCTTTGCACAATTTGCATGATTGGCAGGTGCAAGCATAAAGACTGCTGAAGCCTCCAAGGCAGCTGGCTGGCATATCAGCACCAGCGCATCGGTGAAATGAAGAACGAGTCAGCTGCAGCCCATGGCAGACTGTCGGGCCCTGTCCCAGGCTGCCTGCATCCCAGTTTAAGCAGCCAGCCAATCAGATACAGCCCTGTTGCCTGTCTGGTTTTATCTCAGCAGTGGTACGAGTGGTTAAGTGAACCACAGGGATGTTATTTATGTTTTCTTTCTTTCTTTCTTTTTCTTTTTATTTTTTAAAGCCATTGTAACAAAATTAGTGTCTAATTGTTGCCCAGCTTTATAAACGTGATTCCTATATCCAACTCATATTTTCATTACAGCTGATCTTAGTTTTGTCATCTCACAGGAGGTGAGTACCACTTCATATTTTCAGTCCCCTACAGATGGCTGTGTGTCAAGAAAATAAGCAAATTCTTTTGTCTGCGATCTCTGTGGTGGCCAAGGATAAATAACTACTCCATTGTTGTGGGATATGATGTCATATTCTTGAGATTTTTAGAGGAGACCATTTGCCTTTTCTCAATTATGAAAACAGTGGTTCTGTTTGCCACTGACAAGAGCAGCGCAGAATGCAGAACTCCGTAATTTGTGTGCAGTCAGGATGAAATGTGCCTCAGCTGCTTATGGCTTTGGAATGACTAGCTGAACAGCTCTGAACCAATCCAGAAAATACATGTTAAGTTTTCTATTGTCATAAGTTGGTTATGTCATTCAGTAGTACCGTGCTAGAAAAAAATAGTCCCTAGAAGTTTCTGACTGCTTATTCCCACTGACATATCTCTTGTTCATTAGTTAAATCTGACATACAGGAAACATGTACAGTTAAGTGGAACTCCTAATGAAAGGGATGTGATCTGTTGTTTTTTTGTTTTGTTTTGTTTTGTTCTTTCTGACAGAACAGTTAGCCATAGATTGGTCTTTTTGAATTCATGGCGAATGACTAGAATGGACTTACTAAGTATAGAATGAAACTGTAGTGCATTGTGATGAGTATAAGAAAATGCTTTGACTTCTCTTTGTTCGTGAAACAAAGTTAATCTTATTGATGTTGTCATGGGCTCTCCTTAGGCATAGCAGAACTTTAAACATTTCAGCATATAGGGCTCTTTGAGTGAAGATACTTTTGTGTCTATTAGCATACAATACTCTTGCTTCAAAGTTATAATAAAGAAGAATAAGATAATGCATGTTTTGTACACGTGATGCTCCTGAAGCATTTAAAAATACTCATAAAGATTTTCATAACATTCCAATAAATGATAGCATTACATTCTTACCCATTAAAACATGTAAGCATGCTCTTCTCTATCATTTCAGTATGTTTGCTGAACAAGCTTGCAGGCAGGGTCTTTACTGTTTGACAAAGAGAAGGTAAATTAGTTTTTCTGAAGTTATGTAGTAAACATTTACTGACATCTCTTGAGGTCTAGATCTTTCTTTAATCTCATGTGCCTTTTTCACTATTTGATGCATAAAAATATGAAGCTAAATCTCGATCTTAGTTAAGATATCATTAGTGTGTGTCTAGAAGAAATGTTGTTGAAAGTAATTTTCAAGAGGGTATTTCAAGAGCAAAATGTCTATGCTGAAAGCTGGTGTTTTCCTGATTCAGCAGACAAATAAATTTCATACAAGATAAAGTATCCTGTTGACTTAATGAGGTTGGATCAGAGCCTAAAATAGTTTTTAAGCTAGACTTTTGCGGGCTGGTAACTATTTAACAGATAATATTTTTCTATTTTTTTTTGATTGAGCCACTGTGAATGCCTTGTGAATGAATGCTCACAGCCTGCTGCCATACATTATTTTTTCAAATTTTACACATTCTCATAATTCTACAGTTATTACAACAGTAGAAGCAAAAAAAATTGACATAATTGAAATCTTCCAAATTTATTTTAAGAAAGAGAATGTAATTGTTCACTCTTAATGAATCACTCTGTAGTATTTCTGTGAAATTGATAAATCTTCTTTAATATGCCTTTTCCATAAATGTTCACCTTCCAGAGCTTAAATATATTTTTATTGTTTATAATATTATAGTGTCAGATCCTACCAACATGCGTAGTTTTCCTAAGGGGTTGCTGCTATAGTGAAGAACTACTTATAAAGGAAAAATTCCAAATCAGCTAAATATAAAATATGTATCTCACAAAGCCAAAGGTGTGAGAAACCTGAGCTGTCATTTATTGATAATTGATGTCTGATAGCTTAATTTTATCACATTACTCTAGATCAAAGATGAAGTGCAAGATATTAATAAAACCCTTATACTGAGTGAGCACAGAAATACTAATTTTATGTAAAGTTTCTAACTAATGCAGAGTGCAATAAAAATGTCACAGAGATTAATGCTTGGTGGAATTATCTAATGTTAGGTAATAATTTATCTTCAAAAGTTGAATCCAAGATAGAATCAGCCTAGCATATCCCAGATAAGAGTTTCTGTACATTCCTGTCGGCTACAAAATATTTTCATTCTTTTTTTTGTAACGCAGGTATGACATTAAAGATGACTACACTTTGCGCATCAAGAAGGCTATGAGCACAGATGAAGGCACCTACACATGCATTGCTGAGAATCGAGTTGGAAAAGTGGAAGCATCTGCTACCCTTACTGTGCGAGGTGAGTGTTCCTGTGGAGAGAGGTCTTGTGTCCTGAATGAATCAATGGCTTTTTGGCACAATGAGCCAAATCCTTACCTGCTGTGTTTGGTTTCCACACATCCTGTGCAGTTGTTGGTGCTCTACTGATTTACTACAAATCTGAAATCCTGCTCCCATTGATATCTGTGGCAAAATTCTAGTTGATTTTAGTAGGATAAGATCTCGCAGCAGTTAATGATCTGTTCTAATATTTTTTATTAAAGAATAGATGCATACGTTTTCATAAGCAAGCAGTAACAAACTACACGGACACTCTTTCATAAGTAAAAATTCAGTTTAAATTGTTGTTATTATGGTTCTATTCCCTAATAAATATAAGGAGTGCACTGTGTTTACAAATGTCAAATGTAATGCACATAGTATAATGGAATTATTAGCTCTACCATAACTGAACTCCCCGCTGTTATTCTCTACTTGTAAGATAAATCTCAGTCAAAGGAAAAAGAAAACCTTAATTAAATTTTGTAAGTAATACATGATAAAAAAACTAATGTATTCTCTCTTAAAATATCTCCCAGTCCTTAGTATCCACTCATTGTTTATGGGGTGCTATTTGATATGATAAAAAGGTTTTAACACCAGCAGAACAATGAGCTGCCCAAATGTATTTTGTGACGGTAGATATGGACATGCCAAAGATTATAGAGAGAAATAAAGTTTGTGGGACAATATTTCTGTATTAGTAAATAGAAATAATAGTTATTTCTTCATTCCAAAAGATAAGCTGTGATTTGGTACAATGGATATCATGCAGATACTATTTCACAGTTTAGTGGTGCATGCTGACAGTTTTCAGTAGAGCTGTGAAAGGTTAATAAAAACATTTTTGGCTTTATCTGTGCTTCTCTTTTCATACACGTTAAATCAAACGTTCAAAGTCTCAGTGGATTGCTTTATTAGAACAGGGGTCAACTGACCCAAGAGGCCAGCTTCCATTTCCATCCATTTAATGCATGGACACAGTTCAGTTTAATTTGCTGAATTCAAAGGGCAAAAAAGCACCAAATGGCTTTGCAGAGGGGGAGATGTTAGTATATAACAAAGAAAAGAGAATATTGTGATAATGCATTTGCTGAAATATTACCTCAGTGTTTGCTCCAGGTAATATGTGGTAATGTAGATCTTCCTGTTTTCATCTGAAGAAGTAGGTTTACCTGTTACATGTTTGTCTTAGAGATTGTTTTTCCATTTGTAATGTGAGAAAAATAGTCACTACACTGAACTCCAAGAAATGTTCTAAATATGCTCCTTTGTCACAGGCAGAATCATGATATCCAATATATCTAGCAACAAATTTAGTGGCCTTTAAACATGCCTAGATCTGTATCTAATGTATGCATCACTGAAGCAGGCTTTTAATATTTATATATTATAGACTTGTAATATGAACAATAACTAGAAACAAGCAAAAAAAATCCTTTGAAATCACTGAAGTGTGAACTTGATCAAATTAAGGTGAAACAAACAAACAAACAAAACATATAATTTAATTGATTTTCCTACAGTGAAAGTAGGCTTTCGTTATCTTGGGTACCACTCTCCCCTTAGGTTTGCGATTTACATTCGAATACACAGTGTTTATCCAACATAAAGGAAGCCATGAAGATATAAGCTTATTAAATGTTCAGGGTAACAGGAAATGAGAAAAGCTAAGAAATTCAGTGAAGAAATGTTATTAGTCTGTATTTCCTGGAAGCAAAGTACTGGATAAAACTCCTGTTGACTTAAAAGGGATCACATATGGTGTTCCTTTTAGTTAAAAGATTTAATTCTGAATTGTTAAACTTTCACTAATTTCGTCTGAAATTGATTTTAACAAAATCATCCTTCGTGTGAAGGAGAAAGTCATTTAGCACTTGAAAATTCACTTTGAAGGTCCTTGGTCCTTGTGTGTGGTTTTTTCTGCAGTTTTGACTGCAAACCTGGCAGCAACAGCATAATCCTTAGCTACCTCCCTCACAGCTCCATCTTCTCAAAGCAATGAACGAAGATGCAGTCAGGGAGTTCACTGTTATATTGTTGTACAACTGTTACATGATTGTAAATGATAACAGAATTTGAATTCAGTGATTCAGTGTTCAGACTCTGTCTTGGAAAGACGCACATCACTCATTCCTTATCTTTCTGTGAGACCAGGAATATATCGTAATACCAAAAATCAGAATGTCTCAAAATAAATTTGAGAAAGGGCAGTAGGCTTGAAATAATTAAAGTGAATATGACAAAGTAAGGATAGAGATACAGAAATGCTGAGAACAAAAACCACATTTGCATGCTGCACTACATAGGGATCAGCACGTTTTTGCTTTTGGCCTAGTCTGCACATTTGCCTAGTCTGCACATAGGGATATAGAGCTGATTATCTTCTTTTAAAATAAATAGGTAAATAAATATGTAAATAATATTACTCAGAAATATGTAGCTATTTCTACTGCTAAAATAAGGGAAGTTTCATGTAACCAGATGGCAACTCTGAGTCAAATTTATGTCCAGCTTTTTTGTTCTTGGGAAAGGGGATGTCTGCATTTTATTAGCAGAGGGACAGGCAGTCCTCTCTCCCAACACAACTGTAATAAACAGCTGTTGCTATCATCAAGAAATCATTGGTTGCAGTAACAGCCTTCAGTCTTGATATCAGTCTGAAACAATATTAACCTGTCAATCATTCAGCAGCAATTTTTTTTTTTGTTTTTTTTTTTTGTTAGGAAGTGGAAGTTTCCTAAGCTGTAATTTGGGAGATTCTGAGTTGAAATCCCTATAGCCATTGTGGCCTATTTGTTATATTTTCATCAGTCTTGTCAGTGAGGAAAAAGCAATGTGTTGTAAGCCTTCATGCCTGTTATTGAATGAGAAAAATTGTCCTGGGCTTTTTGTGGACCCCACAGCTGTAGTGACTGACCATGCTTAAAATTCAATTGATATTTGACTCAGAAAGTAAATGCATTGCATCTAGTGGCATGATATTTGTCAGTCTGTAGCTTAAATTGATGTGTTCATCAAGATCTGAAAGTTTTTTCTAATGCAAGTGATTTCTCTTTTATCAGGCACTAACAGTGATACTTGATGATGGCATGTGAAGATAACAAAAAATGTTTCTCAGAAAATGGTTCCAGTCAGCTTGCTCAGATACTATGCTCAAATAAATGTGGTAATAGTAACATGTGACTAAACAGAAATGATAGTGAATATTTTACTTAGGCTGTCATTTGAGGGGTTAGCAATCATGGTAGTATCCATAGTTTAACGTAACATTACACGTCATGCATTCTGACAGATATTCTTTTCTTTTTTAATTTCTTTTTTATGTTCTCACTACACCATTGTAATGTCAACAGCTCGCCCCGTTGGTAAGTAACCATCCTTCTATCCATTTTAGCATGGCTTCATGCAATGCTTCATCTTTCATTTGCAACAGCATTTAACTGGCTTAAGTTACCAGCCAGTGTTGAATAGTATTAACTTTAAAGCACCAGGCAAGTGATTTTGACTGACAAACTGCTATTTCTGAACTTTCTATTTTCTGCTATGTCAGACATAAACACATTTGCCAAATCACCAAGAAATAACCAGTCAGTGAAACTGAATGGGTGTGGTGATACTGAGCCAAAATCATTCAGACATTTTTAACAGTCTATTTAAGGGCCTGGTATAAAAGCCATTGAAATCAACAGAATGGATTGTATTGACTTTGGTGAGCTTCTATCAGGCCCTAAATGATCAGCTCATTGTGCCTCTATTGCATAGCAGTAAAAGCACAGGCTTTGCATGTCCTTTCTTTTTTGTGTCTTTCAAAGACTGTTGAAATAAAATAGTTCTGAAATTGAAGAGGGAATGGAGTAGATTTCCGTGCTTGTTAAGAAAGTTCATCACTGATTTTCACCCTTGGGTCAACTTGGAGTGCATTCTGGAATGCACTGTATAGGTTGCAACTGTTCTGAATAACAAGTCCGGAGGAAGACAGTCTCTGGATTTTGAATTCTTATTGTGAAAATTGGATTCCTTCCTATGCTTTTGAAATTACTTCTAAAAATTTATAGAAATCTGAGCATAATGGAAAAATTGCAGCTGCCACTAGCTGAAATTCACTTTTTTTTCACAAATTTATTCACAAATATCCTGAACTTATTTAATGTTCATTCACGGATCTTTACTCTGTACCTGTATGGACTTTTTAAATAATTTAATGGATTGCACTGCTCCTCTGATTTTTGCAGTTTGCATTTATATGTATCTTCTAGAATAATAATATAGTTACTCTGTTTGGTGTTTTTTGTTTTTGTTTTATTAGTGTGAGAAGTCTGTACTGGTGTTTACAGAAATTGCTAAGAGCTTTAGTGTCTATGTACTCAGCATTTTTTTTTAGAAATGCGTTTGATTTTGACCTTGTCTCAGGTCTTCACTGTTATGAAGTTGGAGGAAGAAATGTTGGAATAATTTAAAGATAAGATGAAGATTAGGCATCTGTGTCCATAACTAAGGTGATCCCATGCTCATTAGCTTGCTTGAACTATCGTGAATAGAGCCAAGCATGTACCTCTGCAGTCACTTTATTGGTTATCTTGGAGAATTCCCCATGTAGGAGAGTAATTCACAGTACTCCATTTAGAAAGTCGATAGCAAGCTTTAAACCTGAGTCCCTGCTGTATTACTTTGAGATTATGCTAGTTCTCAACAAATTAATTCCCAGGAGTTGTAACAGTAAAAGTGGAGTAAACCTATAAGAACAGTTTTCCTTCCTGTTCTGAAAGTGTAGTCGTTGCAGTGTATAAGTAGAATTGCTTTCTTTGGTCACTTATATCTAATTCTCCACTTGTAGAAAAGACTCTGCTCTCCATATAATAGGGCACGCTTTTACTTTTTTTTTCCTTTTCATCCTACTGTTCCTGTCTCTGTTTCATTCAAAAGTAGGCAAAGCAGGCAGCTATCTATGTTGTTGAAAATGTAAAGCCACGTAGAACAAAACAAAGTAACTTTTCTCTCCACCATCATTTCATCACCAGAATGTTCAAATGATCTCTTAAAAAATTGTCATCTGACAGGAATGGCGAGTCAAATCTTGTAGCTTTTATGTTTTGCTATTTTTAGAGACTTAACTTGAATGCAGAGCAAAATTCATCTCTCCTACAAAAGGAAGCTAAAGTAAACTCTACTTAATATTATTACACTCACAGCTATTTAGGAAGGTGACATTTTACCAGAAGTATATTTTTATACTTCTGTGTATGTTAAACTGAAGGAGAGCAATTTATAAGTTCATATTATTTCCTGATACCTGCATATTATCTGAATGCATCTGCTTTTCATTGCTACCTCCATTTCAGAGCAGATATGCTTTGTCTTTACTGTGCTATAAAGAACAAAACATTTTGTTTCATTGGCGTGTTGCTGAATAAGAGATGCATATATTTTTGTGTATTTTTAACGTTCAACGATTGTGATTCGTACTGCAAACTGAATCATTTTCATCTTCTGTTTAGTTTTTACCTGTTCCAAATATTTACATTCTATTAGTTGTGACATTTTCACTTAAATTTCAGCTTGAATGGAAAATTCAGGAGTTGAGATTACTTTTGCCAATGATCATGTTTTGATTCAAGCAGATATTAGCATACAATCTATACTACATGGATGAAATGAAGTATGATCTTGCCTGAGGTGCATGGCAGCTGGTGAATTTAATAGCTCTATGCTAGATTACTTGGAGTTGCTGCTAGGTATAAACATGTTGCTCATTTCTGAAATAGCTGTTTTCTTATTTATAACCTTTTGAAATTATTTGTTACAAGATTTACAATAGATGGTTTGGGAAACAAAATATTTATCCACATTTATGCCCATTTCTTCCGTTCTTCACACTAGATGAATTTTCTAAACGAGGAAGTTTAATATTTTCTCACTTTGGCACTCTGCTGTATTTCTCACAGTAGCCACACAGGAGAGAAACTGTAAAAAGCACAGAATTTGAGAGGGGCCCAGAAGTTTTGTGTAATTCCATCTAAAAGTAACACTGGTCTACTTTTCAAAAGCAGTTGCAATACTGCTCTGAGATGGAGTCTTAAAATTAACTTCAGATAGAAGATTTGTGAAAATATATGTCTAATGCTTCAGTTGCATTTTTGTTAATGCAGAAAGGTCATTCAAAAGACAAAGTACCGTTTACAAATTGTTTTCAACTATGTCCAGGTCAAAATACAGTTCTTTGCATTTCAATTGCTTTGTAGTGAGTCAAGTGTACTTAATTTGCTGTGACTCATCTTAGAAAATAGCAACATGCAACAAATAGACAGATAATTTTGCCACCTGGATAGAAATTATCTGGAATTAACAAAGTAAGGAGAGACCAACCAAACTACAGTAACTTTACTTCCCTACTACATTGGAGGAGAGAGAAACAGATAAGACATTTACCATGAATATTCCAAATTTCATACTAATTAAATACAATCTAAGCATATGTAAGTAAAATGTCACTACATTTTACTTAAATACAGTGGGAAGTTTTCAGATCATAAATCAATAGGCATGCCTTAATGATCAGTTCAGAGTGATGCAGCCTGAAACAAAATAGAAAGGACTTTAAAGGAGGTTATATTAGTTTTTGTGGCTTGAAATCACATTGTTTAGATGATAGCTGAGAAAGAGCTCTGTCCTTTTCCATTTCATTCTGACTTACAGGAGAACAGTTCTATTTTTAGTGTATTCATGAAACTATCACCTTCATTTGAGTCACTGAGGAGATATACAACTATATCAGCAATGACAATTGGTGTGTGACAGAAGAGATGAGATCATGCTTGGCACTGCTGTGCCATCTTTCAGTGGCAGAAATCTCCTACCTATCTATATCAAAGTGCAGTATTTTGTCTGCCTGCTGCTGACACATATAAAGTTTTCAAGAAGGTGGTAAGTGCACCAGTAAACATTAGACTTCTCGCATTTGTTTCTTCCTTATGTGAAAGAATAATGCATTTTTCTTATTTGTCACTTGGCAAATCCTTTAGATTAAAGTCAAAAGGTTGTCATAGAATGAAATACTTAGGCCTGTGAATACCAGTAAGAAGAAAAAATACAGAACTGACTTGTTTTGATGTTCTGTAGTCTTTTAAAGAGCACTTAAAAAAAAAAAAAAAAAAATTCTAAACTCTTTAGCATTTATACTTTTGCAAATTGTGCTAGCTAGACTTATGCTTGAATCTCTGTAATGACTCAAGGTACCACAGAAATATGTTTGGGTTGTATACGTCAGAACACATTAACCATCAAACATTTAAGGGCTGGCCCATCAAACTCTATCTCCATTTTCAACGTCTTAAGGTCTTATAGATATACCAGACAGTATTAAAAACAGAAATGTGGAAGATGATGCCTACTTGAAGTTTTAGTGATTTGTACTGTGCCCTATCCACTAAGTATGTGTCTATACGCATAGTGTTTCTGTTACAGAAAATCTAGTTACAGTGAGTGCAGGAAGTGATAAAGGGCCTCTTTGTCTTTCCTTTCTTTTTCGTTTGATAGTTTGATTTCATTTAGCTTTTTATTTTTATTGCTGAACTCTAGCTTGGGAGAGTTTTGATGTGTAAATCTTTTTTAGCTGTTCTGAGTTCATTATGTATGCTCAAATCTGTGGGAATTCTTTTTTTGCTTCAGTGGATTCTGAGTACTTTCATAAGTGTTTGAAAATCAGTGTATGAAAAGGAGTCTTTTGATGTGTTGCTCCCTATACAAACTTTTCACTTATTTAAAAAGGTGAAATCTGTTACTTTTCCTTCAAGAAGTGGATGAAAATCAATACATTCATCCATTCCCTTTTTTCTTTGCTTTCTCTTCTCATGGGATCACAGGGGTTGGAAGAGACCTCTGCAGATGATCTAGTCCAGTGCTAAAGCAGATTCCCCAGAGTAGATTACACAGAAGAGTGCTAGGAAGAGTTTAGAATATCTCCAGAGGAGACTCCACAGCACCTCTGAGCGGCTTGTTCCAGTGCACTGTCACCCTCACAGTAAATACGTTTTTCCTATGGATCTTCTTGTGTTACTGTTTTAGCCCATTACCCCCTTTTCTGTCACTGGGCACCACTGAAAAGGGACTGACCCTATCCTCTTGATTCCTGCCCTGTAGACATATATAGGCATTGATAAGATCTCCCTTCAGTCTTCTCCAGGCTGAACAGAGCCAGGTCTCTCAGCCTTTCCTCATAAGGAAGATGCTACAGGCGCCTAGTCATCTTTGTGTCCCTCATTGGACTTTCTCTAGAAGTTCCCCATCTTTCTTGAACTGGGAAGACCGAAACTGGACACAGTACTCTGAATGTGGCCTCACCATGGCAGAGCAGCAGTGGAGAATAATC